AGACGCGCAACAAGGCCCATATCGACGAGGTCATAGCCGCCCTTCAGGCCGAAGGCATGCAGGTCAATGCCGTCTAGCAGGCCCGATGTCATGGCTTTCCCCGAAGGCGCCAGGGGACAGGCCTGCCTAGAATCAGGCATCCCCATTGGCAAGCCAGGAGCTTTTGCATGACGCACGATCCCGCAGCGCACCACGGCGAGCAGCCGGCCCCCGAAGACGCCACCGAGGCCGTCGTCCCCTACATGCCTGTCATCCTGCCCCTGGCAGGCGCCGTGCTGATGTTTCTGCTGGCCTTCATTGCCGTCAACATGGCCTGAATCCGGCCCTCCTGCCCCTGCACTAGGCCCCGCTTTGCGGGGCTTTTTGCTTGCCTTTTCAACAGGCAATTTCATCGTTCATATTGCATACTTCAATGCATAGAATGCATAGTTTTTGCCATTCGTTTGCTGACAAATTCGTGACCGCTCCCTAGAATCGAATCCCCAGCCGTGCGCCGCCAGCTTCCGCCAGCGCCGCTTCGCCGCCCAGAGAAGAGCTTCCTTCGCGCGCCGACTGAACGAGAGCCCGTTTCTCAAAGTTGGCGCGGTGCAGCAGGCGCGTCCCCTTTGAAAAACTGGTTTTTTCAATTGAAGGAAGCTCCGCGATGAACGCACCCGTCATGCAAGGCCTGAACATCCAGGCCCCCGCCTATGTCAAGAACAGCCGCCTGATCGCCTGGGTGGCCGAGATGGCCGCACTGTGCAAGCCCGCCAAAATCCATTGGTGCGATGGCTCGCAGGAGGAATACGAGCAGCTGTGCCAGCAGCTCGTCGATGCCGGCACCTTCAAGAAGCTCGATCCCGTCAAGCGCCCCGGCAGCTACCTGGCCTGGTCCGATCCGTCCGACGTGGCGCGCGTCGAGGACCGCACCTACATCTGCTCGGCCAACAAGGAAGACGCAGGCCCGACCAACAACTGGATGGCCCCGAACGAGATGCGCGCCACGCTGCAGCCGCTGTTCGACGGCTGCATGGCCGGCCGCACCATGTATGTGGTGCCTTTCTCCATGGGCCCGCTGGGCTCGCCCATCGCCCACGTGGGCGTGGAGCTGTCCGACAGCGCCTATGTGGCCGTCAACATGAAGATCATGACCCGCATGGGCCGTGCCGTGTATGACGTGATCGGCGTGGAAGGCGAGTTCGTGCCCTGCGTGCACACCGTGGGCGCGCCCCTGGCCGAAGGCGAGAAGGACCAGACCAGCTGGCCCTGCAACAAGACCAAGTACATCGTCCACTACCCGAGACGCGCGAAATCTGGAGCTATGGCTCGGGCTACGGCGGCAACGCCCTGCTGGGCAAGAAGTGCTTTGCGCTGCGCATCGCCTCCACCATGGGCCGCGACCAGGGCTGGCTGGCCGAGCACATGCTCATCCTGGGCGTGACCAACCCCGAAGGCAAGAAGTACCACGTGGCTGCGGCCTTCCCCAGCGCCTGCGGCAAGACCAACTTC